ATGAGCGAAGAACGAAGGTTCAATGGGAGTGGTGAGCTGCATTTTTTTTCAGATCATGAAGATGGATATTTGCTGGTGTTGATGGATGAACAGGCGGCGGATGAATAGTGCTAGGGTTGACTGAAGCTGGGAGGAGATGAATAGTAATGAGGGTATTTATATACTCGACACTTGGCACAAACATAGGATTAATGATTAATTAAAATTGCTGATTAACTTAATAATGACAACTAATATACAAACTTAAATATCTCTAATTAAAAGAAAAATAACTCTAAAATAATTATTCTTAAAAATAAAAAATCTATAATCTAATAAAAATAATTCTAAAAAAAACAAATCTATAAAATAACCATTTAAAAAAAAACTAAATAACTCTATTTCTATTTCTAATAAAATAAAAAAATTTCTAACAACAAACAACTATGTCAAACTAATTAACAAGACAAACTCTAAATGAAACTCTAATTAAAAACTATTTTCTAAAAAAAAAATATTCTAAAAATTAAATAAAATCTATATTAAACTATCAAAATTCTAAAATAAAAACCTATTTAAAATAAAAATCTAAAATTAAATTCTATGCTAAAAATAAATTAAACTATGTTAAAAAGTAAAATAAGTAAAATAAAATAGTAAATAAAAACATAAAGATCGGGTGAACACCGAAACGCCACTGAAAATACCAGCACGGACTGGATCAACAGAATGAGAATAAACTCCACTCGATTCCGAAATAAATCTCCCTTATTTAAACCGGTTTGAATCGCCTGAGACATGAGAGAATGGGCTGTAATCCCGATAATTCGTCCTGACTGACAAAAATGCACCGTATGCAAGAAATGATATGCAAATGCAAATGAGACAAAACATAAGCTAAATTACTGGAAAGGGTTGGTCAAATTTTGGGGTGCAACAGGTAACGCCGACGTTCTTCAAGCTGAAAGGCATTACGCTGTAGTAGTAGTTGCCCGACTCAGTCATGAAGGCCGTGTATTTTTTGTCTCATTTTTCCATGGGGATTTGGTTGCACCCTTAATACACGTCCATAAAGGACAATAATTTTAAACCTGCAGAGTTATCAACTAGTCTATCTATGTTAGGTAATGGGTAAGCATCTTTAGGACAAGCCCTATTAAGATCAGCATAATCAATGCATATCCTTCATTTTCCAATAGATTTTTTAACGAGTACAACGTTTGAAAGTCAGGTTGGGTACTAGGCTTCCGAAATAAAATTTGCCTCTAAGAGGTCTTTTACAACTTTTTCAGCGGCCTCCATTTTTTTGAGAGACTACTTACGCCTATGTTGTACTACAGTCCTAGCGGCAGAGTCAATTGTAAGCTAGTGGCAGGCCACGTCGTGGTCCAGTCAGGGTATCTCGGCAGCGCTCCACACAAATAGGTCAGTATTCTTTCTTAAGCATGCTTTCAGTTGCTTCTTGCGAGGTCGGGGAGGCCAGTGCCAATCTTCACTCTTTTATTTGGGTCGTTGTCGAGGAGGATACCTTCGAACTCTCCATCTAGAATGGGGCGCCTAGGATAGGCAAGCTCCTCATTGACATCTGGCGGCTGGAAGATTTTCACTACTAGCCATACTCCTTTTCTTTCTTCTTCTGCTCCTTCAAGTCATCTTTGGTGAAGCGGCTGTCTATGTCGATAGAGTCGACATGAGGCATTGGCTTTGCCTCTTCCAAGGTACTGGGATGCGCTGGCTTATTGGCAGTTTTTGGTGGCGCATTGATGGTGTTATGCCTCTTTGAGGCCACTTTAAAGCATCTCCTCACAACTTCCATGTCCCCATGAAGGGTGGTGACGAGACCATTGGCCGTGTAGTACTTCATCTTCAGATAAACTGTGGATGGCATGACGATCAGTTCGACCTGAGTTGACCTTCCTAAGATGCACTAGTATAGAGAAGGGCAGTCTATGACCAAGAACTAGACTTTGACCGACTTGGAGGTTTCAGCCGCTTCGACCGTGACAATCAGTTCGACGTAACCCCACGGCTTTATGGTCGCATCGTTGAAGCCCTGCAGATTGGAGCCCACGTAGGGTGTCAAATGTGTTTCATCGAGCTGCAGTGTCAGGAACAATTGGGAGTACATGAGGTCGACCGAGCTCCCCTGATCGACCAGTATGCGAAAAACGTCAAAGGTCGCCATTCGTGATCTCAAGAGCAAAGGGATGCTAAATTCAGAGGATGCATTGGGGAGGTCATCGTGGTAGAACTTGATCAGAACTGAACTTCCCCGACATTTGTCGAGAGTAGAGTTCTGGCTCGAGCTTGCATCAATGAGTTGCTTGAACTTCCATTTCACTGATCCTATGGTGAGCTTGTTGAATCCTCCACTATATATGACCATGACGAAGGGGGAAGGTTTTCTATGTGTTTTGCACTGAAAAATGGAGGGGGTTATCGGCCCCGTCGAGGACGTATAAGTCCTCAGGCTGGGAGATAGATATGGCGATCTGTAAGTTGGCGGTGTCGTCAGAGGGTAGCTTCTCCTTCACGACCTTCTTCGCTTCCTGGGTGTCTTGACGAGGAGCCTCTCTTCTCTTGGTGTACTGTTTCAGATGTTCGTCCCTGATGAGGATTTCGATCGCATCTTTGAGGTGGATGCACTCTTCAGTGACGTGCTTGTGGCTCTTGTGGAAGCGACAATACTTGGTCTTGTTTGCGGTAGGGTTGGAAGGTGTTTGCCTAAGAAAACAGACTCCATCTTGGCACAATTCTGAGTTTGCGCACTCGGATAGAATACGGTCGCGAGAAGCGGTCAACAACGTGTACTCGGTAAAATGGTCGGCAGGTCCTTTGCACTCCCTAGATTCCAGGGGCTTATCCTTTTTCCTCTTTTCTCCTCCTCGGCAAGGCGCCATGGGGTCATCGGGCCTCGAAACTCTGGCATTTTCCTAATGCCACGAGTCTCGAGCATTGTTGGCAGCTTCTTTCTCCTTGTATCAAATATAGGCCTGAGCCTTGAGGAGGAAGGCATCCAGTGATGCGGGCGTCTCGATGCCGACGATCTTGGCGAAGTCACTGTGGGGGCGCAATCCCCGTTTGAGCAAATACTTCTTCACGTCGTCAATCGTGGAGACCTGGACATCTGCTCGATTGAACCTCTCATTGTAGGCTCGAAGGAATTCATTTTTCCCCATGCATGATTTCCTTGAGCGTCACCTTAGACTTTGGATGGCGACGATAAGCAGTGAAGTGCCTTGAAAACTGCCTTTCTAGGTTCCTGCAGGAAGCGATGGACTCTTCAGCGAGGCTCTTGTACTATGTCATGACACCCTTCCTCAAGGTTGTGGGGAACAATCTACACTTGATGGTGCCTATGACGCTGCAATAGTCGAGTAACACATCGATGTTTTCAATGTGTTCGTTGGGATCTGTTGTTCCGTCGTATGTCCCTAGGTTCGAGGGTTTTTCCAACCCGACAGGAAGGGGAGTGTCCATGATCGCTCGAGATAGTGAACCGCAGGGGCCCGCTGGCTTTGCTCTTCTTGGCAACCAGGGAGCGTCAGTCCTCGCGGGGAGGAGTCAATTGCGCTTTAGGGGCTGCGCCTCTTTAATTACGGGCAGCAACCTGGTCGTTGTGGCGACGGGCTTCGGGACCCATACCGTTGGTGTCTCCGCGAGGGAGAGCGTGGACAACGGTCTTTCTCAATTGCTCTGATCCTCTCATTCTGTTGATATATCAACGCGTTTGTTTGGTTAAGGGCCACGACTAGGGCCGCCATGGCCGAGTCGGCGTTGACCGACACCAGAATTGATTGGAATTTCTCTGACGTCTTCTCCAGAGCTTTTTGAACTTTGCGGGTCTCGACGTACTGGACGTCATTATAGGTCGCATCATCAGAGGAGGGGGAGACGGTGTGCCCGTCTCTCCTCCTTGAAGTGTTTTCCTCCAGAATTAGCATATCGTTGTTGTCGTCGGCATCATGGACGAGAGGGAGGATGGTTTCGTGACATGTTGTCGTATTGATCGGTGATGATTAGTTTTTGAAGTTTTCAGTTCTGATCTCTTGGTTTCAAGGAAAGAAAAGATAGGGAAACAAGTTTCTCACAGACGGAACCACTGATATAACCTGTCGATCATAATAGGTAGATGGCCGGCAACACGTCATTGGACTTGAACGGTCAGCGAAGAAACGAAGGAGGGGGTACCTGCAAACACTCCGATGCCTAAGTTAGTTCGGGTGAAAAGATGAGTAAGAATAAAATACCTGACCCTACTGCAGATGAGTATTTTTATAGTGAGCCCTCAACGCATAGCTAATGGTCTCTGTTGTGGACTGAGTGTCCAGGTCCACAACGGATGACTGCCAAGACTTCCACGCGAGATTAGAAATGAGCAACTTATACTCATTGTCCCGGATCAACCGATCCGCATTCTCCGGTTAGTGGATGGACTTGCCAGTTACGAAGGGCATAATGGTTTCCCGAGGCGTGCGGATTAGTTGGTGACGTGTCCTTGAACGAGGGACATGTGGGGAACCTGTTCTCCACCGACCTTAACGGGTTGAACCAACACTTTGAACCATCATCTACGTAAAACTGAGTTGGAATATGTTCGACATTGAATCAGCCACATGCCTAACCTTGAACAATACTTTAAAAAATAATTAAAAACAATTTCCAATCAAAAATATGAAAAAAAAAATCACATGAGTACATAGAATGAAAAAAGAAATCCTCTTCAAAAATCTACCACTTATAACTTAATGCCATAACACTTATATTATTTGGGAAAAAAACTTACCAAACACTTATTATTTGGAAAAAACTTACCACTTATAACTTAATGTCATAACACTTTTATTATTTGGAAAAAACTTAATCATGGAAATTATATCCTTCAACAAGAAAGATAGTACTAGTACATCATTTATTTTACTTCCACAATGAAATTATGAAAGCTCCAAGCGCGTGGTTCCACGCTCCACTATGACAAAAGGTTGGCCCACATGGAAATGGGTCCCACAAACCACGGTGAGATGTCTGTGTCTTGCTATGTTTTCTTTTGCATGGTAGTAGTCAGCCAGCAATGGAGTGAACAGATTTGTTCCACTCTCTCTCTCATCTCTGAAAAATTCTCTTCTTTTTCTCCAAATCTTGTATCTGTCAAAGATTCTCTTACATGGGTCATCTCTGAAATCCAAGTTCTCTCAATATGCACAATCGGTACCCACAAAAAATCCTTACTTTTTCTTCTTTTTATCTTGCTTCACTGTGTTTTTTTGCTTTTTGGGTACCCTCTTTGTTTTTTCTATATCAAACTGTTTTTGGGTTTGATCTAACTTCTTTTTTGATAAATTAAAAACTTCTCTACTTTCTATGATTGATTTTTGCTAATGGGTTGTCTTTCTTTTTCCTTAAAGTTTTCTCCTTTGTGTTAAATTTCATTCCTTTATGAATCTGTTGAAACACTGCCTCACATTGGGGGTTTGAACAGTGGCTTTTGTTTTTCATTTTCAAGTTTCAATTTTTGATTTGAATGTTCTGAAATTTGAACTGGTTTTACTTCAGTGGTGCTGTTTGATGATGTAATGGTTTCACTAACATTGTTTTCTTCAACATGTTTCTGAGATGGATTTTGTATTTGCTTGTGTTTGCCTATGAAATGATTAGTTATAGTAGTTTTTTAGGCTTCATGGTAGTGCCTTTTAAAATTTGTCTGTTACTAAGGCTTTGTTTGGATTGATGGAATCCGATGCAGTGGAGCAGTATAGGATGGAAGGAAGTGGTGTTCCGTTGTTTGGATAATTTATGATTGGATGGAGTCGTGCGAAATGGAGTGGTATTGGTATGGATTCCATTCTATCACTTACTACCATTTTTTCTCCCCTCCGATTTGGGGGCGGATGGAACGAGGAATTTGCGTTGTTCATTCCTAAAATTTCCAAACAATGGAATGGAATCTTCATTCTGCTCCGCCCCATTCCTCTACATCCTAAAGGAATCTGGTTTCTGTGTATATGAAGGAAGAGAAAAAAAAAACACTTATGATTCTGTATTTTCCTTGAAGCAATTGTTGCTAGCTTTGTAATGTTATGTGTCTACTTGAAATTTCACTCTTAGAGTAGATAAAATTGATTTTGACATGTTTGGATGTTCTCGAGTTGAATTGATTTTGGTTCCGATATTGATTAATCTAATAAATTTGATGTTGAATGATTTTGCAGATAGGAAACAAGGTTTAGGATTTCCATAAAGGGAAAAGGCAAGTTAAGTTTGGGAAAATGGGAGCTTCAAGCTCTAAAATGGAGGAAGATAAAGCGCTGCAACTGTGCCGTGTAAGGAAGAAATTTGTTAGGCAAGCGCTTGACGGGCGTTGCTCGCTGGCAGCTGCACATATTTCCTATGTTCAGTCACTGAAAATTGTAGGAACAGCTCTTCAAAAATTCACAGAACCTGAACCTCATACGGAGTCTTCTTTATACACTAACGCAACACCAGAAGCACTCGCTTTAACCGATAAGGCAATGTCGCAGTCTTCGCCGTCTACGTCGCAACATATCGATGCAGCCGAAATGCAAAACTTGTATCCAACTCCCTCTCCTCCTAGTAGTTCTACTAAGTTCCATGCTAATCATATGAAACTTAGTAGTTTTTCTTCTAAGAAAGTTGAAGAAAAACCACCTGTACCTGTTATAGAGACGGTAACATCGTCCGGCATTGCACGGAATGGAAATGGAATGTCTGAAACAGAAGCATTTGAAGATTCTTCTCTTCCGGATGGAACTCCACAATGGGATTTTTTCGGTCTTTTTAATCCCGTTGATCATCAATTTTCTTTTCATGATGCTAAGGGCATGCCTCATCACGATGACGGGGAAGAACTTCCTGAGTTAGAAGATGATGAAGCGAAGGTTTCTTCCAGCAGCTCGCGGGATTCGGACGATGAATTTGATGAAGAGCCTGCCGCAGAAACTCTAGTCCAAAGATTTGAAAATCTAAATAGAGCTAATAGTAACAACCATGTTCAAGCAAGTGTTTCACCTATGAAAGGGGATTCGGTTTCTGAAGTTGAATCGGTAAATGAGGAGAATGGAAACTCTCCTTATTTATCTTCGTCAAAGAAAGCACCTATGGTAGCTTTGGCTTCACTCGAAACGAACAAACCAATGGAGAAAGAAAGCCATAGTGAAAATAAAGTCACGCCTAAGAATTTCTTTTCGAGCATGAAGGATATTGAAATTCTCTTTATTAGAGCTTCAGAATCTGGTATAGAGGTTCCAAGGATGCTTGAAGCAAATAAATTTCACTTTCGACCGATATTCCCCGGGAAAGAAAGTAATGTTTCTGGCTTCTGTTTACTATCAGTTCTTACTCTTATTTATATATAAATTAGAATACAATGATAAAAATTTCTATGACGTGACGTGTTATTTTCCGTGACAGACGGTTCTTTGGCATCTTTATTTTGTAAGGCATGTTTCTCATGCGGCGAAGATCCAACAAGTCAAGTTCCAGAAGGTAATTTCTGAGTCGTATTACTATAGAACTTTTTGTAATTTTGATACTCATTCCTGTTTGTTCAAATCTGTTTCTGGAATTCCATATCTATTTTTTTTTTCTTTACGTCTTCTTAGAGCCTGCTCAAAACGCGATGAAGTACATAACTTGGCATAGGACAGCATCGTCTCGTTCCTCCTCATCTAAAAACCCTTTAGACGCAAACTCAAGGGAAAATTTAGAGGAACGCACAAATAATCTCTTTGATAGTTCGTGTATGATCTCTGGAAGTCATGCATCAACCTTGGATAGGCTACATGCTTGGGAAAGGAAGCTCTATGATGAAGTGAAGGTACCATGTATTTCTCATCAACACATACATCGACTTTTATGTATTTTAGGTGTATATGTTGAAGTATTATTTTGGATTTCGAGTAATCCCTAAAGCTGAACATTCTGTTGGCAATCAAGTATTTTAAATAAATAGGTTGTTTGGTATGCTTGAGGGGTAATGTTATAAAATGGACCGTACTATTTAAGCATATTTGTACGCTATAAGCTCTAAGCTTTAATAATAGAAAGGTATGGTAGCCGCATTGCAGTCAAAGGCTTGACACAATTGGCCGATTTCTATGATCAAATCTTGTCTGTTTGCTAATATCGGTGTCCATTTCTTTGTATCACAGGCTAGTGAAATTGTCCGAAAGGAATATGACACGAAGTGTAAAATCTTAAGGAACCTGGAATCAAAAGCCGAAAAGACCTCCACAGTTGATAAAACTCGTGCTGCAGTTAAGGATCTGCACTCAAGAATCAGAGTTGCAATTCACCGGATAGACTCTATATCAAAAAGGATTGAGGAGTTGCGAGACAGAGAGCTTCAGCCACAACTTGAAGAATTGATTGACGGGTATGACTAATAAGCTTTACTTGTGTTGACTGACATGAACTTCTTGCTTTTGTAATTCATCTATATCTGTTACGATTTGACGGCAGGTTAACTCGAATGTGGGAAGTGATGCATGAATGCCACAAGCTTCAATTTCAGGTCATGTCCGCGTCATATAACAACAGCCATGCTAGAATCACCATGCATTCCGAGTTACGCAGACAGATTACTTCATATCTTGAAAATGAACTCCACTTTCTATCATCAAGCTTCACCAAGTGGATCGAAGCTCAGAAATCCTATCTCGAGGCTATAAACGGTTGGATTCACAAATGTGTTCCGCTTCAACAAAAATCATTCAAAAGAAAAAGACGGCCACAATCTGAAATTCTCATACAATACGGTCCTCCAATATACGCCACCTGTGATGTCTGGTTGAAAAAGCTCGGCACATTACCCGTCAAGGATGTTGTCGATTCTATTAAGAGCCTAGCAGCTGATACGGCCCGGTTCTTACCATATCAAGACAAGAACCAAGGAAAAGAAGCTCACTCCCATATCGGCGGTGAATCAGCAGATGGTTTATTAAGAGACGACGTCTCAGAGGATTGGATATCAGGTTTTGACCGATTTCGAGCAAGCCTGATTCGATTTCTCGGTCAACTAAATAGTTTGTCCGGTTCTTCTGTCAAAATGTACAAAGAACTTAAACAAGCTATTCATGACGCGAAGAACAATTATCATCGGTTGAATTCTCATTCTCAAAACGGTCATTCAAATTCTCATCCTCAGTCTCAACATGGTCGCCAGAATTCTGAATCTCAAGACGAGCAATCAACGTCACAATCTCAAACTGTTGAATAAACATCCAAACAATTCGAGAAGAATTGCGTCAAGCGTTGCGGAGTTGCAGAACTATAGCTTCTGTCTTGAGCATACAATAGTACAATGGATGAAGCATTTGTAGATGAAAGGTTATATTTAAGTCATTGCTTATTTTCCATACTTGTTAGTTTTAGTTCTTTTAAGAATATAAGAGGGAGATATGATAGATGTGTATGAAGAGGCTGTGGATTGGTGGTTACATATTGAGTAAGAGCATTACAAATGTAATTTTTGGAACATTGAATGAACTTCATGAAATAAAAAGTTGCATCATTTTGTCACTAAACATGTTGAGCAGTTTATGTGCAAGAAGAAAGGTGAATATTCTCTTCTAATTATTTTGACAACTTCAAGAATTGCTTTGTGTTTATTCTACAATTGCAATCATTTCTTTATCACTTTTTTTTAATACATTTTAAAAGTGTATCTTTAAACATACAAAAGTTAGCATGCATTTGTAGTGGTGAGAAAAGTTTCCCCCTAAAAGATTAACCTGAAAAGAAGTCTTAATTCTTCTTTATGCGTATCTTTTTAAACAAAATATTTTTCATAGTGACAATTTGCAGCTTTGAGCTCCAATATCACGTTATCGTCTGACACTAAATACTTTTTTTATTTGTTTGTCATAAAAAAAAACATTTATTCTTATTCAATATTTTATTTATAGTGTACTTTGAACTATATAATTATATGTTTGATGATATAATATGACCACTTTTCAAAGCTAAACCTCTTATATAGACTATAGTTTCTATGATATTACTACTGAGATACTCATCCTTCTACCCAATTAAATTTATTTGATATAGTATAAAAAATTAAATGTATATATAAATTTAAAATGTTAAGAAAATGATTACAATAGCCAAAAACATAATCATAATCTTTCAACAATACAATCAAATCAAAGTCATGATAAGAAAATGATTACACAACATATATTATTAACCAAATTCAAACAATGTAGGAACTTACTTTCAACAACTAGTGTTGATTCAATAATAACACTATTAGTTGGGGAGAATTCATCATTTCATCTACTTAGTTGGGGGCATTGACACTGCAGAAGATCTTTTATATTATCATTTTCGGTAAAATAAGGAAGTCTTGAGAGGCATGAACAAACAAGACTTGTATACTCTTGAGGATGAGGTTGTAAGTGGTCCAGTAGATGGGGCATTCACGAAACCTGTGTCGAAGACTGAGCTATGACACAAGAGACTTGACCATACCAGTAAAAGATGCCTGGTCGAATTGTCTAAACAAAATTTGTCGGGTCGTGATAAGGCTGAAAAACTAGAGTTTTGTGAACCTTGTGTATTTGGTAAATCCTGTAGAATGAAGTTTAACAAAGGTAAACTAAGAACATATGGATCCCTTGATTACACTCATGCTGATCTTTGGGATAGGACCAACAAATCGACGAGCCAAAAGATGGAGAGAAATAAGATCAATGAATTTACAACTCAGATAAAGATCAACGAATCCATGACTCAAAAGATAAATAAGAGATGACTCTACTATGGAATATGTTAGTTCCATGACTCTATGATTGTCCATGGTTCTATGATTTGTTAAATTTTGGTAAAACATGGTTCTGCACTAATGTTAAGCAGGATGTCATTACCAATGTCATGACATTGCTGTCTGGCACAGTAGGAGCTGATGACAGTACTGCTGTCATGTGTTTTAATCAGGATGTCATTACCAATGTCATGACATCGTTGTAAGGTACAGCAGGAGCTGATGACAACACTGTTGTCATATGTTTTAATCAGGATGTCATCACCAATGTCATGACATCGTTGTCTGGTACAGCAGGAGCTGCTATCACTTAACAAAAGTGTTTTGGTTTGATGAGATCCTGTTGGATATATCTCATCAAGTGTGTGCAGGTCAAAGATATTCACAACATGAAAATGCAGATTTAATTGGTATTCATAAAAAGGATCTTTGAGACTTTGTAGGAAACTATAATATGCTTGTGTCTACTATTATGAAGAAGATTCTGCAGGAGTGTTCAGCAGGGTGAGTTTGGTCAGCTAAGAACAAAGTGTGTTGGATGTCATGCTGGATGTTATGACATCAAGCATATGACATCAGCGCGCGTGTTTTAGTTTTCTGGTATTTTACCTGATATATCTCAGGCTAGAATTCAGGAAACCTGTTATGGCTCCTTAGTTATCTCAGGCGAGAATTCAGTCAGGGCTGGGCATAATATGAAGTAGCTGTGACCTAATTTGCAGCATCTAAATTATGGAAATTAGGCTAACTTGGTTAAACCTAATTTATGTTATTTTTGATCAGCCTAAGCCCAGTCTGCATTACTATTTAAGGAGGAGCAGAAGCAAGGGAAATTAAGCACTCACAACAAGAAAAACTTGAGTGTAAAATTAAGGTTAGGGCTTTGAGAGTCTTTTGTGTGTGACCTTGTAAGTCACCCTTTGTATCTCTTGATGCATTGTGGTAGACATATGTAGGCTGTTATTTGTGAGTGAAGAAGTCTGACTGCATCAGTTGTTCTTCACGTGTGTATTGTGTATTAGAAATACTTGTGAGCCAAACAATTATCTGCTGTATGATTGCATTGGTTAGTATTGTTGAGCTGTGTGTCACTCTAAGCTTTTAAGCAAGAGTGTTGTGTTCTTGATTGAAGTTGTGAAGTAAGATCAAGTGTTGTGACTTTGAAGAGTGTCTTCTAAAGTTTGTCTTGTGTATTGAATTGATTATCACTACGGTGATTGACGGGGAGTGAGCGGGGTCTCTTGTCTAGTGGATTCTAGGAAAAAATTGCATTGGGTAGAGATTAAGTGAGAAGTTGTAAACGAGGGAGTTTAGCTCTGAATTGATTCTGCTGATAGTGGATTTCCTTCCTGGCTTGGTAGCCCCCAGATGTAGGTGAGGTTGCACCGAACTGGGTAAACAATTCATTGTGTTATTTATCTTTCAGCATTTACAATTCTGCACAATTTAAATGGTTAGATAAATAGTCTGTATGTCTGCTGATGTTACAACAGTCGTCATGACATTGGTACAATTTAAAGTAATTTAAATTGGTCATGTTCTGTCCTTGTTCTGTTTCAGCAGAGATCAATGTTCTTTGCATCTCTTAGAACATATGAGATCTGCATACCAGAATTTCAGAATAAAAGGTATAAAAAAAGGTGAGATCGATGTATGATTTATGACCCTAGGGATAAAGTAGACAAAAAGGTAAGGTTAACATATGATTTACCACCCTATGAATTGACATGATGTAAGACATCAAGTGATATCTATTGGGAATTGTGGTGTTAAACCTTTCGAAGATCCATCGGTTGGATATTGACTGAAATGTCTACTGGGGAATATGCTCAACATTCTCTCTGAGGGTATGTCACATGTCATGATTGAGGATTGATTCAGTATTTCGTGTAAGTACCAGATCTGGCTTGTGCTTCGTATGTATGTTTGAATTTTTCTATGGTGTAATACTTCGTATCAAACGGAAATGATACGCATTTGAGGATGTAATGTAATGATGATTACTACATGCAAAAATGTTTATGTATGCTCGGGATGCTGGGGATATGAGGATATGTAGTCCATGTGTTATGATTGTGCCAAGTATGGTTGGGCTTTGGAGGTGGTGATAGAGATTTTTTTATGGGGTGCCAAGTATGATTGGGCTTTGGTTAGGCGTGGGACCAATTTGGAGCTGATGACGATTTGATTGTTAGGGATTTTATTCTTTATTGCCAATGTAAGTGAACTTTGAAGGTGAATACAAGAACTAGTTTTTAAGGAGGTAGACTACCAGACGAGAACTGGTGGCAAAAGGTTAAGTTGTCAGATGAGAACTAACTTCTTGATTATTTGTCAGATGAGGATATGTAGTCCATGTGTTATGATTGTGCCAAGTATGGTTGGGCTTTGGAGGTGGTGATAGAGATTTTTTTATGGGGTGCCAAGTATGATTGGGCTTTGGTTAGGCGTGGGACCAATTTGGAGCTGATGACGATTTGATTGTTAGGGATTTTATTCTTTATTGCCAATGTAAGTGAACTTTGAAGGTGAATACAAGAACTAGTTTTTAAGGAGGTAGACTACCAGACGAGAACTGGTGGCAAAAGGTTAAGTTGTCAGATGAGAACTAACTTCTTGATTATTTGTCAAACGGAATCTGACTTTTAAAATGGGCTACCAGATGGGAACTAGTTTTGAAAAGAGAATTGACTACCAGACGAGAACCGAAGTTAAAAACAGGCTAAAGAATAGGTGACTATACGAGAACTGGTTAAAATCTGCCTACCAGACGGGAACTGGTATCTTGAGATAATTTTCCAGACAGGAATTGGTAGACGGTTTTCCAGACAGGAACTAGGCTTTGAGGTGATTTAGGTTATATGGTTTTTTAGAGTCAGATTCATGTTGTGAGGTTATATGCCCGATGAATGAGATGATATGTATGGCTTTATGCATGAGTGAAGTGACACGACTAATGCACGAGGATGATTTATACAATGATTTGAATGTTTCCAAAACTACCCCTGTGTGGATAATGGATGAAGCAATTTTTTTGTATCAAAGCTTCTTGTCCAAAAGGCAAAGGTTATAAAATATGATAATAGCATGATTCCCTAGCACTCGTCTTGAACTTGAAGATTACTAACGAAGTTGGCTTGAGAAGCTTTAAAAGCATGAATGGCTTGCCCTTCTGTGGCTCATCTTGCCCTAGTCCAGTCATTGGAAAAATTCACCTTGAGAGGAAATTGGGAGAAGCTTTCATGAGGTGACCTTGAGATAGTTTTCCCCATAATTTTGAGTCGTTAAAGAATTAATCCTTGATTAATCGGATCTTGAGGTGGTTGACTTTGATGTAATCTTAAGGTAACTTGCCCTAGAACGAGCGTCGAAGCGATTTAACTCGTGTTGATTGAGCGCTGGAGGGATTTTCCGTTAATCAAAGAACCTCTGGGTAGCTTACCCCTGGTTGGTAGAGTTTTGAGATGATTCTCTCTAATCAACTAAATCTTGAATGATCTACCCCATAATCAACTGATGCTTGAGGACTTGCTTTAGACTGGACTGATTCTATAATCATTGGATGTCAATGCCCTTGATCCATAGGATTATGAGGTGATCTTAATTCTGATCCACTTTGATGAATGATCAAGTCCTCTTTGATTGCTCCTTGTTGAAATTTCCTTAATTTCAAGTACTGACTTGCGGTTAAAGTTGTCTATTCACAAATGGTAATTTTAATGCGATGCTCATGCAAGTTTTGAAAAATCATTATTGGAATGACGTGATAGTGTGTGACGAACGGACCATTAGTCCAAACATAGTGTTGATTTAACTAGTGTGAAAGATATAGCAAGAATATAACACCAATACATGCAATTAACAAATCTCTAGGAGTCAGTTTACACAACCTTGCTGTAGTATGCTTTCAAAATATACCCTGTTTTAATTAAGTCTTTTGAAGGTTGTAACATGGTCTGTTTCATGGTTATTTGAAACAAAGGATATAAGGCTCAAAGCTTGGTTGGTGCCCACCCCTTCGTCATGATGACCTCTAATCCTATGTTCAGTTAATTCAACACACGTATCTAGATTTTTATGATGTAAGAGTGGAGATGATGATTCAAGATTTTCTTGAAATAGTAGTCACCTTATTTTGCTTTTGTCATAGATATCAGTGACCTTTTCAATTTTTGACATGGTGGTCACTGAATCTTGTTTTTCTTGCTTAAGGATTTGAGGACCTCTTTTGCTTGATTTTTTTATCCCTTATTTTTACCTAGACTGATATTGTTTTTCGAATCCACCGGAATTTCCCTAATTTTTGCCTAAGTCGCCTCTTTAGGTGTTCGACTTAGCGAGCTTTCTTTTTTGTTTTTTTCTCTTTATTTTGGAAAGGCTTGTGACTGCCAAGTCATTGGTCATTGAAGAACAACCGACATAACTTTTGGATTTTGCAAGGTTCTTTTGACACTTCAGGATGTGTGCGAAGAATATCACGTGGTTGACCTTCAGACAGGATGTTTCATCTTGAAATCGAACATGTAGTCGGATTAACTGAACAATACCCGTGTCCCATGTTTAGCACAAGGGTTTGGAAATCCAAAAGAAAACTCCTACTTCTAGGTTCGAAGTGGTTAACTAGAGATTAACTCTTTATCTCTCTAGTGTTTGAAAATTTGAAACAATGCTTGTACATCATCAACAAGATCTTATCTGAAAGCATACTTCAACAATTATGAGTATATTGTTTTCATCATCCTCCCTCCAATCTTTGCTAAAACAACAGTTTGATAAAGAAAGTGAAGTGGAGAAGTATATGTCTGTGATTTTCAATGAATGAGATAATTGAGCGAATGCGACATGATTAATTCAAAAAAACATGATCACTTCATTAATATTACCATTCAAAACAATAATTTTTAAAAACAAGTAGCATTCAACAGGAAACCTGTTATGGCTCATCTTACTATTATACATTTTCAAGCGGCTATTTAAGTTTTGCAGTATTTAAAAACCTTCCAAACTCAAGGTCTATTTTAGCTCAGTAATACTAACCTGATACTTTCTGATTTCGTAGATAGTAATTGGGCAGCTTGCCCAACAACACGACGATTTGTCACAGGTTTTGCAATATTCCTTAGAAAGTATTTCATTTTATGGAAGTATAAGAAGCAATCTACCATCTCTCGTTCCAGCTCCAAAGATGTCATAATGAAGATAATGAAGATGATAATACAAAAAAATTAATAGAAAAACATATTTTTAACTAGGAGTTTCTTTAGTCGCAACATATTTTTATAAGATCAAACACATGCTCATAAAAAAAACATGATGCATAACAGGTCAAACTTTAACTTAAAAAAAATTAATACTCAATTTAAATTGAAATAAAAGCAATCTATTCATCCTATCTCTATAATAATCTCAAAAGAATTTAATTTCCGTTACCAAAGATCCAATTTAAAATTACAATTCCTAGAAATAATCTTAGCATTCCCAGTCAATTTATCCACCGTCAAATCGCAGTCAACTTTAACGGTAATCTTCCACGTTTTAACAGACCCCACTTTTATTTTCACAGGCGCTCTTAATTTAACGATCAACGACACTTTCCGTTTACTCAGCGCCGTAACCAACGCTCTCTGATCCTCACTTCCCATCTTAATTCCGTTACCTTTTAACACCGTGTTAAACACTGTTACATTATTAGACGGTTGATAAAACGCCGGGAAAACGCCGTTACATAGTTTCACGTCTTTGTAGAAAATTTCCGCAGAACTATCTTTCTCGTAACGGATCCCGATCTTGTTGTTAGGGTTATTGGCTCTTACAGTGACGTCAAACTCCGGCGAAATCGCCGCGGTGGAAGACGGCGACGTTATGTTTATTCCTCTGATGTTGATGTTTTCGATGGAGTAGTTCGGCGCCTCGGGACGAACAACGAGGTAGAAAACCCCGGCGGCGATGCCGAGGAGCACGATGAGGATGAAGAGTATTCCGATGAACCAGCAGAAGCAGCAACAACGGTTCCGACGGTTTTTCTTGCGAGTGTATTCTTCGTAGCGACGAGCGTTTTCTTTTGGAGGGATACGGTGAATGATATCCTTGGGAATCTGTATGACGTACGTTCCCGGCGGTGGAACAGGCTTTCCCGACGGCGGCGTTTGAGGTTGCTTGGGAGCAACAACAGCGTGTTCCTCAGAAACCGGTGGCGAGTCGTGAGGGTGAACTCGGTCAGCCATTGAGTGAGTGACGAGTTGAGAGGCTAAATTTATCTGCAAATGCAAATTCAAACTCAAATGCAAATTTATCAGAACATTAGTGAAGATTTTGTATTTATATAATAAGCTTATAAGGGTAAGATATGGAATTATGAAATATGGAATGAGAAATTTTCGTTGAGAGTAGGAAACTACTATAATATAAATTAATTAATAAACATAATATCTATTAACTAATCATAATTAAGTTAAGTAGAAAAAAAACGTTACAGTCACTTCCAACCTGGCAAAATGGGAAAAAGAATGAAAAAATATATGTTAAAGGGAATTGGTCAAAAAATTCAAGTGTTTTGGCTGTAATATTTGGATATGATTTTCTTTTTTGTTAAATACAGTCACACGGGATGTTGATTGCCGATCCATTTGGTAGTGAGTTGGTTGGAATTTTGCTATACACGGTTTGTTTAAATTGAATTGGTACCAATGTATGTAATGTATTAATTAATTATCCAATATAAGAATGAGTTTAACAAGTAAAAGATCCAAAGCAAAGTATTGAACTCGTCGCACGTACCGTTTATAAATCCATTTTGTTTATGTTTTATGGAATGTAGGTAGGAGGAAAGAAAGTTTAAGGAATATACCATTTACTAATGATTGAACTAAGCCTTTTTGAGATCCGAATGATAGATAGATAGATAGAATAGTAAAAGTATTATATGAAATAGATGATAATGAAGTAATATTAGATTTAGATGTGATTGAACAAACTTTAGTAGAGTGAATTTGTATAATATATGAGAAATAATTTGAGCGAAAGAATTAGTAGAATATTTGAATCTTGACGCATGTCGAACTTTATTTTTGGGGGCGATTAGAATCATTTTCACTTAATCTCACGTGACATGTAAATCATCATCTGATTAGATCTGACGGTGGAAAGTTGATAGGTGGTTGAAATCCTGCGCTTTGTGCTTAAGTGAGTTTGTACACGTTCCTTGCACACTTCCTTGTAGTTCTTACTATTAGCCCTTGATGTGTGGGTTTTGTGAGTGGTTTAGAACACTTGTCCTCAGATCTTTGTTTCTACTTGTTAGAAAGAGAGTTTGTCTCGTGGGCTTCTAGTTTGGCTTGGTCGGAAGGAGTTGAATAGCTTTAAAATTGGATAGCATTTGGAATGAGCGCATTGAATATCTTCCTTGTAACTTGCAATGTTTCACTAAGGGGTTTTGACGCGTGACCATAGGACTAATTGTAATGATGTCTTCTTATCTTAGTGTACTCGAGTGTTCTGCACAGTTCGACACAAGATCATGATCGTTGGTAGCATAGTCATGCTTACGAACGCATATGCGAATCATACGGTTACGTGAGAATATATAAAGGATTCTTGGGTACCTATCCCTCTTTTCTTTATTTGTGTGACTTTAAGAATTTTTCCCTTCTTTTTTGTAGTTATCTTTCGCCTTTGTTGACAACTCCCGTTGACCATCATTCCGACGTCTTTGCACCATATTCTCCGACGACTCTTGCTCTACGCAAATCATTAAGTTCACCTCTTTCAAGGTAACAACTGTAGTATTTTTATTCTGTGTGCCTATTTATTCTTCACTAGGGTTTATTAGGAAGGCGTTGATGGAGGATTTGAAGGAACTAGTTGTCATACCCTAAATTTTACCCATAGATTCATTATCATTTACGTAACATTCTAGGTCAATTATTCATGCATGGCTAACCAATTATCAAGACATTGTTTTGCTTTGTTCATATGTGAATTAAGGTTTGCCCTAAAAGGCTTAAGGGATTGATCAATCAAGGTTTTGGATGGATCATCAATTAGTCAAGTTTGCATACACTTAAGAGACCTCCCTTCATCAATGATCAAGTCCAAGTTGGCTTCATTACAAGTTCTTCAAGATTCAAATTCATTTGGCTATGAATTAGGGTTTTTTCAACCAAAGTCAACTGCATCTTTGACTTTTGGTCAAGAAATGATTTCAAGCCTTGGGATATGATTCAAGACATTCAAATACACCCTTGGAGTCCATCAATGATGTTCAAATAACTCAAGAGATTGAATTCATTGAAGATCAAGAAGTGAAAGTTCATCTGATACATAAGTCATTCACTGCAAAGTCAAACCTTTGACTTTATGGTTTTTGACCAAATATGAGCTTCTCAAGTCAAATTTCATTGGAAATATATTTTATGATTGAATTTGATCCAGAAAAATCAAGAGAATTGAGGTTACTTGCAAAAAGGTCAACAAAAGATAAATTGAATTTTTTCTAAGTTATGAAAAAACCTTAATTTGGTGCTAACTTTCCAAAGCCATAACTTCCAATCTAGACATCCATTTTCCTTGCTCCAAAGACCAATTTGAAGAGCTTAGTCCCTACTACAACTTTATCCTTGAGGAGGAATTCCCAAAAAGTGCTTAGATTTCAGGTTATGAGGCCATGAAGACGGTGTTTCATTCAAATGTGATTTCCAGCACTTAGAATTTTTTTTATGCAAATCTGCCTTGTAAAAGTAATCAAATTGAGGACCACTTTTCACCATAATCCAATTTGATTCAGCAAAAACTCAAAACATGAAATTTATAGAGTATGTTCCCAGCTTTACAAAGATTCCAAGAACTTATTGATATCATTTATGAGCTATGAGTTCCAAAGGAAAGAAGTTGCAAAACCATTCCATGTTGCAAATCCCTTGATTATAGCTCATGTAACTTGCAAATCCTGCCTTGATCAAAGGATTACATAAAGACTTGGGCCATTATCCAAGGAGTTGAGGCATTGTCCAAGGGTTTATGCCATTTATGGAGCATTATTCATAAAGGTCATATTACCATTTTTGAAAGCAATCCCTTAACCTCAAATAAACTCTTCTTGAGCCTCCAACCTTTCTCTTCTGCAGAAAGTAATCCCTCTAAACCTCTCACTCACCCTACAACTTTTACTTTGGCCTTGGAAGTCCAAATCTTCATGAATATATACCATTCATTCTCAACCCAACCAAACTGCAAGCACTTCATAATTTGATCACCTTATTTTCCCTATACTTCTCCTATAAATAGAGGTATCATTTAAGCCTCAAAGGGAGAAGCAACACACAAGAACAATACCTCAAACCACCTCTACACCAAGTTTTGCATAAAAACATCATTTTTACAAACTTAAAGCCAAAAGCTCCCAACTCCCATTTTGCTCGTGCTCCACCAAAGCAAACACTTCAAACAACTTCTAAATACTCATTAGAGTTTGTTCAAACCCTTAAATAAGTTTTGTAGCACTCATACCATCACCTTTTATATCACTTTCACCATTTCGCAAGAACATTTGTGTGAGGGGTTAGAGGTTATTTCCAATCAAACCATTCATTCAAGCAAGTTCATTGAGGTCTCAAAAGGCTAACTACATCATCACAACACTTCTAGAAGCATTGTGAAGAGGCATTGGACCTTGCTCAAATAGGTAAGAAACTTGAACTTTGAAACTCATAATACATGCATTATTATTGTGCAGTTTCTAAAGCAAAAAATATAGACATTATTGTATTGAATGTGTGCATGTGCTTGCTTGCATTTTGTCTTGCCTGTATGTGAAGTTTTGAATGGTAGAAACCCTAAGTTTTAGGGCTGGTTTTTGACTTGGTACGACTTGTACAGTGAGTTTTAGCTTGTGAGAATAATATCATTTGATTCCTGATATTTTTATAGGCAATTTAATTTTTTATATCTTTTAATTTCGTTAAAAATTGAGTGAGTTATGGTAGGAGAAAAATTGAGAAAAAAAGATAAAAGTGGAGGAAAGAAGAAGAGAGAGTGTGAGGGAAGAAGATGAGCTGACGTGGCAAAAATCCCACTTTTCATGTAGCTATCATATATTATTACTTAGGTTCAGTTCAATACAAGGATGTATTGGTTACCCCAGTGGTAACATCGTGCGTTTTCCTCGTTTCTCTTGTGCCAAGGCGTGGGTTTAAATCCTGGGAACCACCATTTTGCTATTTTCTCACAATTTTGCTTCAATGTGCATTTTGGAATAATTTTTAATATATATATGTCGTTTTCCATAATCATTTTAGATACACCTGTGTGGTCTAGTGGCATATTTCTAAGCTGGCAACCAAAATGACTTGAGTTCAAGTCCATGTAAGGTTATTTCATATATTTTTAGCATGCAGTATTTTCTTTATTTTTCACAAATTCATCCAAGCATAACTTTCAAACTACACATCATTTTGACCTAATTTTTTGCATGCCTTTTCCTTGTTGGGTCTATTTTATGAATATATTTTAAATTTTCACAAAATAATTATTTTTCATACACTTTTGTATAGTTAAAGTAGACACTTTTTTTTAGGGTTTTATTAAGTTCTTTAAGTGGGTTTTGACTTGTTCTTTGATTTTTCTTGACCATGTTGATTTTTGTGAACATAATATCATGTATGGACCTTGTACAATGTTCATAACATGTTGATTTGGTTTTTGCCCAAGGTTATGATAATCGAATGCATTCTTTTGCATATATAAATGACTTGTATTTACATGTATGGTTTTGAAAATTTTCTCTTGACTTTTGCCATGATTCTTTCATACTTTATTGAACATTTGTATGCATGTAAACCCTTGTGTTTGTCCATATTTGTTTATGTATTCATAAATGCCTTAAAATTTAATGACATGCCTTTACTTGATTCCTAACTTGTATGTTCAAACCTTTGTGATGTTTTTACCTTTGAATGAGATTACCATGAACCTTAACAAGTACCTTTGGTTGTTACCTTGATGTTTTGAACCATGTTTTCAATTATACCCATGCTTAAGTATTGGTATGAATTATACATGATTATTTGAAGTTGTATCCGTGTTTAAGTATTGTTATGACTTATCCATGGTTGCTTGTTTAAGTATCGTTATGACTTATCCACGCTTGTCTGAAATTTTGAATGACATCCATGTGTAAGTATTGTTATGACTTAGTCATGTTTGAATGTTTTAATTTGTATTTTTGTTT